GGGGGCAATTGGGTGAGCCCATTCTCCAGTACTGGGGGCACTGGTGTAAAACATTCTTCTACTGGGGGAAGGAAACGAACCAAACCATTCTCCAGGTGGAGGCGGGAAGACTTTTGGATGGATCAGCCCTTTTCCACCCAGTTGAGGGGGTCATGGGTTGGTTCGTACTATCTCACCTGAACTTCCACCCCCAGGTGCCAGGAGGACAACAGCGAGGACCTGATGCCCCCCTGCTCCCCGGAGGACTCAGCACGTTGGGCCGCCCTGTGCCGGGAGCTGCAGGCGCCTGTGTTCGCCCTCTGCCACCCACGGGTGCCAGTTGCCCCCTTCGCTGACGCCTGCCTCTTCGACCTGTGCGCAACCCGGGGCCAGGCCTTGGCCCTCTGCCATGCCGCCCAGGCCTACTCCAAGGCCTGCCAGGCCCAGGGGGGCCCCCCTGTTGCCTGGAGGAACAGCACCTTCTGCCGTGAGGACCCAGGCGTCTGGGCAGGGGGGTGACAGCTGTATCCAGGACCTGTTACACTCAGCTGTGACCCACCCCAGAGCTAGCTGCATCCTGCTCACCCCACTGTCTCTTTGTGTCTCCCCTCAGCCCTCCCATGCCCCCTGAACAGCCGCTACACGCCATGTGCCCCAGCCTGCCTGCCCAGCTGCGCTGAGCCCCTAGCACCCACGGCCTGCCCCGAGGACCAGGCCTGCAGCGAGGGTTGTGACTGTGACGTGGGGCACCTGCGCAGTGGTGATGCCTGCGTGCCTGCAGAGGAGTGCGGCTGCGTGGACGATGAGGGACACTACCACAGTGTGAGGGTCATGGTCCCCCCCCGAACTGGGCACATCTGGGCCCTGTTAAACCCAGCCCGGCCCCCCCAGCGCTGGGAGCATCTGGGCCCTGTTACACCCAGCCCAGCCCAGCCCCCCAGAGCTGGGCACATCCCAGCCTGTGCAGTGACCCCCCTCCCCTCTCCACCCCCACCCCAGGCAGGTGCCACATGGCTGCTGCCAGGCTGCAAGCGGCACTGTACATGTGAGCCCGGAGGCTTCTGGCCCTGCGAGAACTTCCTCTGCCCCCCGGGCTCATCCTGCACCTTGGGTGACACTGGCACCTACTTCTGCCAGGCCGCACGTGAGTTGGGCCCTTGTTCTACTCAGCCATGTCCCACCCCAGAGCTGGGCTCATCCAGGCCTGATACACCCAGCCCACCCCCCAGAATTGGTACATCCAGGCCCCCCTTGACTCCTGTCCACCCCTCCAGGCCTCCACCGCTGCACTGTCTCAGGGGACCCACACTACCGAACCTTCGATGGCCTTGTTCACCACTTCCAGGGGGCGGCGACCTACACCCTGATCCGGACCCTGGGGCAGCTCCAGCCTGGGCTGCCCCCACTCAGCGTAGCTGGGAGCAACCACCAGCGCCTGGGGCTGTGGCCTGTGGCCCTGCTGGAGGAACTGCACGTGGCCCTGCCCAGCTACAATATCTCCCTGCTGCCTGGCCGGCGCCTGGTGGTGAGAGTCCTCCCCAGAGCTGGGCGCATCCAGGCCTTGTTACACTCAGCCTGGCCCTGAAGAGCTGGGCACATTGAGGCCCCATTAGACACAGCTTGGCTCCCTAGAGCTGGGCACAGTCTGGCAATTGAGGGTCCTCGTTTCCCCCCCAGGTGAATGGGGTGCTAACGAACCTGCCCTTCTCCCCTGATGACGACCTCAGCATCGGATTCTGGGGGCTGCAGATCCTGCTGCAGACCCAAGGCGGCTTCAGCGTCACCTTCGACGGACTCCACTATGCAGGTACTGAGGTCTATTATGCTCAGCAGAGCTGGGTATATCAGGGCTCTGTTAAACCCAGCCCAGCCTCCCAGAGCTGGGTGCATTTAGGCCTGTTACACCTAGCCCAGCCCCCCAGAGCTGGGTGCATCCAGGCCCCGTTACATTCCCCTTCCCTCAGCTGCTTCTGTCCCCCAGAGCTGGTGCTCCCCGAGCCATACAGAGGGGTGGTTGGGGGCTTGTGTGGGACCCTCAACGGGGACCCCGAGGATGACTTCACACTGCCAGATGGGGCCAGCACCCACAGTCTTGAGCGCTTTGGGGAGGCCTGGAGGGTGCATGCGCCCCCTCACGACAGGTGAGACCACCCCCCGCTACTTGCCCTGCCTCTAGCCCACAAATCCCTCCCTTTGGAGTTTGACTCCATCCCCTGACTCTATTCCCCCCACTCCCAGGCAATCGCTGCCTGAATCGGGGTTTGAGGCTGCCTGCCCCGCCTCGCGCTTGGCTGCTGTCAATGGGTCAGAGCAGTGCGGGGTCCTCGGGGCCCCAGGGGGGCCCTTCGCCGCCTGCCACCCCCATGTGCCCCCTGGCTCCTACCAGCGGTGAGCAGGGCTGCGGGTCAGGAGTGAGGTGCACCGGGTTCTGAGGGGGCTTCAGGTCCGGAGTGAGGGGCACCGGGATGGAGGGGGGAGTCACAGGTTAGGAGTGAGGAGCACCGGGATGGGGGTGGGACTGTGGATCAGGAGTGAGGAGCACTGGGATGAGTGGGGCTGCAGGTTGGGAGTGAGGGCCACTGGGATGCGGGGTGGCGGGGGCTGTGGGTCGGGAGTGAGGGGCACTGAGCAGCCTCATTTAACACCTTCCTCCTTGCCAGGGACTGTATCTATGACCTCTGCGCCTTGCCTGATAACCCCGAGCTGCTGTGCCAGGCCTTGGCTGCCTATGGGCACGCGTGTCGCCAGGTGGGGGGGCTGGCACTGCCGTGGCGACAGGAGACCGGCTGTGGTGAGACCCTCTCCCTACCACTGCAGTGCCCCTCACTCCTGACTTGCAACTCCTGCCAATGCCCCTCATTCCCACCCCGCTCTCCCTCCCTCAGAGGTGTTGTGCCCGCCCCCCTCGCGCTATGCAGCCTGTGCCCCTGCCTGCCCCCCTGCCTGCCCGGCACCCAGTGCCCCCCCGGCCTGCAGTGCCCCCTGTGTCGAGGGCTGCGTCCCTGCACCCGGCTGGGCCCTCAGCGCCCGAAGCTTTGTGCCCCTGGCCCAGTGCGGCTGCTCCTGGCACCAGCGCTACTACCAGGTGGGCCCGGATGCCTGGGTCCCTCCCCTTGATGTGGGGGGGATCCCCACAGACCGGGGTCTGTGGGGTGGGGGTGGCCCAGACATCTGGGTTCTGTGTGGTCTGGGGGAAAAGGGACCCAGACACCTGGTTCTCTATAGGCAGGGGGGGTGGGAGCCCAGGCACCTGGGTTCTTTGTGACTGGGGCGGGGATGGTGGACCCAGGCCCCTGGGTTCACTGTGGTCAGGGGCATTAGGAGCCTAGATGCTTGGGTTCTCTGCTGTCAGGGAGATTGGGATCCTGGACACTTGGGTTCCCAGTGGTTGGGAGCCTGGACGCCTGGGTTTTCTGGGAGAGGAATCAGGGCTGGGGGTGGGAGCCTGGATGCCTGGCATTCTGTGGCTGAGGGCATTGAGAACCCAGACACCTGGGTTCCTGCAGTCGGGGCTGGGGATCCCGGATACGTAGGTTCTCTGTGGCTCGGGGGATTGGGAGCCCGGACACCTGGGTTCCCCCTGGGGTCCCGCCCCCCCCCCCCCCCCCCCCCCCCCCAGATGAACGAGACCTTCTTCACCCCTGGCTGCACCCAGCGCTGTACCTGCCATGGCCCTGAGACCCTGTGGTGTGAGTCAGGGGGCTGTCCCCCTGGCCTCGTCTGCGCCCTGGCCCAGCTTGCCTGGGGCTGCTACATCCGTGAGCTGGACGCCTGGGTCCTCTTGGGAGAGGGGTGGGGGCATGGGGCCCAGACGCCTGGGTTTGCTGGGTGGGGAGCAGGGTGGAGGGGAGAGCAGGGGGGGCTGGTGGCCCAGATACCTGGGGTCTCGGGGCTGGGGGCTCCCAGACGGGTCCCTCACCACCTCCCCCCACAGCCGGGCCATGCCTGAGCAGCCCTTGCAAGAACGGTGGGCACTGCTGGGAGCTGGACGGGGGCTTCGTCTGCGACTGCCTCCAGGGCTATGAGGGGCCCCGGTGTGAGACCCCCAGCCAGCCGGGGGCAGGTGTGTGACCCCTGACCCCTGAGTCACCCCTGCCTTTGCCCCAGTCTCAGACCCCTGGCAGGTATCTGATCCCATGTGACCCCTGTCCCTACCTTGACTTGGTGCCTGGTCTCCTCCATGACTTGCTGTGAGCGCCCCCCCTCTTGCCCAAATGGTGACCCCTTTGACCTGTGACCACCATCAGACCCTGTCTCATCCTTGACCCAGTGCCTTGCCTCTAACCCTTGTCACCCACTGTGACCATTGACCCCCTGTTGACTAGGTGTGTGACTCCCCCCACCCCTCTGTAACCCATGACCCCCCACAAACCAGGTGCCTGACTTGTTAGTGACCTCATAGCAACCCCTCTGTCACCTCCCTACCCCCACTAGCCTGCCAGGTGCCCCCTGACCCCATCTTTGATCTCTGACCCCCCAGGCCTTCCTACTGCCGTCCTCCAGGTCCTGCTGCCCCTTGTCTTCGGGGTCCTCATCACAGTCGGTGTCTGGCTTTATTGCCACAGGTAACGACCTGGACATCTGGGTCCCTTTCTTGCTGAGGGGAGGGTGGCAATCCTACCCCTCTCTAACCCCTCTCCCTCCACCCCCCCAAAAAACCAGGAGGAAGCAGCACAGGAGGAATGTGCCCGGAGTCATGACAACGCCCCCTGCAGGTCAGAGAGCCCAGGAGTCCAGGGCCTTGTTCTACCCAGCCCTGCCCTTGACTTTGACCTTTGACCTTCTCCCCCTCCCCCGCAGGCCTCAGAGCCCCCCCAGCACCTACCCAGGAGGAGTCTATGCAGTTCTGAGCGCTCCACTAAGCCCGGGCGCTCTGGTTCCCTGGGGGTCAGAACCTGGACCACAGACGCCTGGGGTCTCCGTTGGCCGGAAGGGGTAGAAGTGGGGGCAGGGACCCCGGTGGGGCTGGACTCCAAATGCCTGGGTCCTGCCCCCCCCCCAATAAAGACCCATGAAGACGTGTCTGCCTGTCCTTCCTGAGCCCAGATGCCTGGGCTCTCTCCCCTCAAAGGAGGGCAGGGGGGTGGTAGGGTTAAAAGGACCCCACCTTAAGGGGAAGGAGTGGGAGATGGACCAATATGTTCTAGGAACTGGGACCAGTAAAGGGCATGAATTAGGACCTCTAAGGATAGGGATTGGAAGGGAGGAGGTGGGGGGATAGGGACAAGCAGGGTGATGGCACTGGGACCAGTGTGGTGGGGTCATTGGGACCAGTAAGGGGCAAGAACTGGGGGAGGGGGGTTCACCGGGACCAGTAAGGGGTGAGAACTAGGATCAGTACAGCCAGGGAATTGGGATGTATAATGGGTGGTATTTGGGACCAGTATGATTGGACCAGTAAGGGTTGGTACCTGGGACCATGTGGCTGTGCTACTAGGCCCAGTAACTCACAGCTGTATGGCTGGCAACTGTGACCAATAAGGGTTGGTAACTGGGACCTGTCTGGCCGGGGAACTGGGACAATATAGAGTGTTGGTAAGTGGGAGCAGTCTGGCTATATTACTGTGACCGGTAGGAGTTACTGTATTACTGGGACCAGTCTGGCCAGGGAACTGAGACCATTGAGTGCTGGTAGTGGAAGTTGTGGGGAGTGGGGTAGGCTGGGGCTCTGGGGCCAGTATGGTGGGGGTCACTGGGACCACTAAGGGTTGGGGGCTTGAGACTGATAGGGCTGAGTTGCTGGGACCAGTGAGGACTGTGCACTGGGACCAGTAAGGGTTGAGAACTGGAACCATTATGGACTGGGTAGAGAGACCAGGGAGGGTTGTTAACTGGGACCAGGCTGGTTGGCAGCTGGGACCAGTAGGGCCAGGGAACTGGGACCAGATAGACAGTGGTACCTAGGACCAGTCTGGTCAGGCTATTGGGCCATATAGCTGGGTTACTGGGACCAGTAAGGGTTGAGAATGGATTCGTAGAGCTGGTGAAATGGGACCAATAAGAGTAACTAGGACCAGAATGGCCAGGCTCCTGGGACCAGTAGTACTGGGTTACTAGGACCAGTAATGGCTGGTAACTGGGACCAGTCTGGCATGGTTACTGGGAGCTTTATGGCTGAGGAACTGGGACCAGTACAGCCACAGAATTGGGACAAATAAGGGTTGGTAGTTGGGACCAATCTGGACTGGTTACTGGGACCAGTAGGGGTTGGGAGCTGGGACGTGAGAGGAGTGGTCAATGGAAGTGAATCACCATGGTGCTCCATGACCAGCGGTGTCCCCCAAGCCTCTGTCCTCGGACCTGTACTCTTCAGCGTCTTTATTAACAATGGGGACACGGGTATTAGAAGCGGACTGGGCAAGTTCACCGATGACACCAAACTTGGGGGTAGTGTCCACACTCAAGGATAGGCTGATGGCCTCACGTATGAATGTTAAATGTCCCAGTGGAAGCCCTAGGCTCCCTCGCACTCACAGGAGGACACTGGTCCAGAGCTGGGGTAGGAGTGGATTCCCTTGAGTGCCCTAACTTGCTGCTTTTGCAATAGTTGCCTGGTGGGTTCGCTATAGCAGTAGTCCACCCATCCCCCAGCAGGCCAAGTTTAAAGCCTGGTCGAGCAGGTCAGCCAATCTTGTTGAGAAGAGCTTCCCCTCCAGTGCAGTGAGGTGGAGGCCGTCTCTTCCCAGCAGACCACTGCCTGTCACCGAAGAGTGGACTGTGATCGTGAAAGCTGAAGCCTTCAGATGAACTGGGAGCTGGGATGATGTCCCCTTAGCTGGGGGCAACATTAGCCAGTGCCTTGCTCAAGTCTAAGTGAACCATGTGCACTCTCCACCCCCTCTGTACCAGGCACGGGGTACCTGAAGGCACCATGGGGGGGAGGGGGCGGGTTCTGGGCATGACCAGGCCTGGGGGGGTTCCTGTCCCCTCTCCCCGAAAGGCCTAGGCAAGGCTCCCTTCGGCCCTCCCTGTGGCAGCCCTGGGTGCTGGGCCGGGCACTGGGACCTCCAGTTACCAACACTTGCTGGTCCCAGTTGCCCCCAGCATGTTTGGCTCAGTTTCCAAAGCTTGCTGGTCTCAGTTCCCTGTCCAAATGTGTCAGTTCCTGCTCAGAAAGGTCCTAGTTGCCAACCCCTACTGGTCCCTGGTGCCAGGCCAGACTGGGCCCAGTTAGCAACCCTTATTGGTTCCCAGTTCTGCAGCTGTAATAGTCCCAATACCCAGGCATACCCTACTGATGACATTCAATACAGATAAATGCAAGGTACTCCACCTTGGCAGGGGGTGGGAAACCTGCATCATGCGTATAGGCTCAGCAGTGCTACACTTGCTAGCACCACGGGCAAAAGGGACTTGGGGGCCATGATTGACCACAAGGTGAACATGAGCCACCAATGCAATGTCGCTGCTGGCAAACAAACCCCTGGCTTGCCTCTATAGCTGCTTCTTGAGTACATCTCAGGATGTCATCCTCCCACTGTACTCAGTCTTGGTGAGGCTGCAGCTGGAGTACTGCGTCCAATTCTGGGCTCCGCAATTCAAGAAAGATATAGAGAAGCTTGAGAGAGTCTAGAGGAGAGCCACACGCATGATCAGAGGGCAGGAGAACAGGCCTTATGAAGAAAAGCTGAGCTATGGGCCTCTTCAGCCTGGAAAAGTGCAGGCTCAGGGGTGACTTGGTAGCAGCCTATAAGTACACCGGGGTGTGCATCAGGATCTGGGGGAATGCCTGTTCACCAGAGCACCCCAAGGGAGGACAAGGTCAAATGGTCACAAATTTCTCCAAGACCATTTTAGGCTGGACATAAGGAAAAATGTCTTTACTGTCCAACCCCCAAGGCCTGGAATAGACTCCCCCTAGAGATGGTGCAAGCACCTCTTCTGGACTCCTTTAAGAAGCGTTTGGATGCTTATCTTGCTGTGATCCTTTGACCAGCTGACTCCCTGACCCTGGGGCAGGAGACTGGACTCAATGATCATCGGAGGTTTCCTTCCAGCCCTAATGTCTACGAAAGTCTATCCTGCCTCCCAGTCCCTCCATCCCAACTCCCAGTCCATCCATCATGCCTCCCAGTGCCTCATCCTACCTCCCAGTCCTTCCATCTCAACCAGCCTCCCTTGGCTGTAAGTAACTACCCAACACCTTGCTCAAGTCAAGGCGAGCCACATCCACTGCTCTGCACATACCCCCTGCATGAGGTGTCCAGTCGGGGGGGGGGGGTTTGGGCACACCTGGCCCTGTGGGGGGGGGCAGGTCCCAGTCCCCTCCTGCCCCGCACCCTGGCATGGATGTGGCTCTGGGCCCCACTGCCTGCCCCCCCATCCCAGCAGCCCCCAAGTGCCTGCGTTATGTGGGCATCACCATGACAACCATCACTGCCAGCTCTGCCAGGCCAGGAGCAGGGGACGAGGATCATGTGGGGGCCTGGCTGGCCCCCAGCACTCTCTAGACAAATCCAATATACTGGGAGTAGTGATGGGGGCAGGGAGGAACTGGGACTAGTATGGCTGGGGAATGGGGACCGGTAATGGTTGGGAACTAGAACTTTATGGCTGGGGAAATAGGAGCAGTAAGGGGTGGGAACTGGATCAGTATGGCCAGGGAACTGGGACCAGCATGGGCTGGTAACTGAAGCAATTAAGTGTTGGGAACTGGGACTAGTATGGCTGGGGAACTGGGACCATTATGGCTGTGGAACTGGGAGCAGTAAGGGGAGCAGGAACTGGGCTAGTATGGCCAGGGAACTGAGACCTAGATCACCTGGTAACTGGACCAATTAAGGGTTGGTAACTGGGACTAGTATGGCTGGGGAACCGGGACCAGCAAGGGGTGGGAACTGGGACCACTAAGTGTTGGGAACTGGGACCAGTCTGGCCCAGGACCTGGGACCAGTAACAGGTGTAATCTGGGACAATGATGTTGGTGCAAGTGGGACCAGTGAGGGTTGTTAAATGGGACCAGATAGGCTGCCCCCCCCCCTCCCCGCACCAATGGTGCCCCTCACTCCTGACCCGCAGCCCCTGCCCTGCGCTGCCCGGACTCCTGGGTTCTCTCCTTTGTCTCCTTCCCGTCAGGCCCTTTATGACCCTTTGTGGCTCAGCCCTGTCCCCCCCACCAATAAGGGATGAGGCCAGTTATTAACTGCCCCCCCATCCACTAAGTAACCTAATTAATTGGCACCCTCCCCTCCCCCAACCCAGGAGTCCGGGCTGCAGCCACTCCTCCCAAAAAATCCAGCCACCCCCCACCCCAGACACTCCAAGCGTCCACCCCCCTGCTGCACCCAGGCATCCGGGCGGTCTCTGGGGTAACGGGTGCCCCAGGCCAGGCATGGGATGTTTCCCAGCTTGGGCGGGTTTCCCCGTGTGATATCGGGGGCTGCAGGTCAGGAGTGAGGGGCACCATGGCAGGGGGGCTGTGGGTCGGGAGTGAAGGGCACCATGGGGAGGGGCTGCAGGTTGGGAGTGAGGGGCCCCATCCTGGCAGCTGACAATGCAGGAGGAGGGGGGTGCTGGGATGCCTGGGATCCCTCCCCGCCCACATCTCCCTGACAACCCTCCTGAATGGGGCACAAAAGACCCCCCCACCAAGAACCCAGGCATGGGGGGTGGGGCTGAGAACCCAGGCGTCTGGGCCGGTTGCCGGGGCGACGAGGGGTTATAAAGCCGGGTCTGGGGCCTGAGTCAGTGGCGCCCAGAGCCAGGACCCTGGGACCCCCCAGCCATGGGCCCCCCTGCCGCCCTGCTCGGCCTCCTGCTGCTGCCCCTCCTGGCCCAGCCGCGGCCCCCCCCGGCCGGCAGCAC